ATAGGAGCAGAGAGTCAGCCTCTCTGCTCCTATGATGCTGCTTGGCCTGCTGTGTTCATCCAGCCCTGCACCTTGTAGTCCCAAAATGTAGTTATTTTATAAATCTCAATTGTACAACTGGGGAATGACATGACATTTTCAACATCTGTTTGGTAGAGGTATTAAACTGATGAACCATCTGCCTCACTGAAATGGATGTTAAAATCCCCTGGTATTATTTTGAAAAATATCAAGTAGGTCATCCCTGGTGTCCTAACCAATATTTATTCCTCAATCCACAACTACAAGCATTGCAGTTTATGGGATCTTGGAATGCACAAATTGGCAGCTTCGTTTCCGACACTTCAACTCTGAGACTACCCTTCAAAAGTACATAATTGCCTGGAACGCACTTTGCGATATGCTGTGATCATGAATTGTAATTAAAAAATGCAAGTCTTGTTTAAATGAGCCCATGCCAAATGTATAATTTTCCTTTGAGAATTGGTAAGTTGCCTACAGTTAAGGGGAACTCTGTTGAATGTATGATTTCCATACTTTCGGGGGCAAAAGCACTGGAAGTGAATAGCTCTGTAGTAGTATTGTATTTGGTGTCTATCAGATGGAGCAGTCTTGACTCAGGATATTGTAGAATTAGAGGACTCCATAATACGATAACCCTATAATGGAAGCTACAATCAAGGTAGAACTGCATGCTAAGATAACAAGGTGTAGAGCTGGATGAACACAGCAGGCCAAGCAGCATCAGAGGAGCAGGAAGGCTAACGTTTCGGGCCTAGACCCTTCTTCAGAAATGCTGTGTTCATCCAGCACTACACCTTGTTATCTCAGATTCTCCGGCATCTGCAGTTCCTACTATCTCTCAAAATATTAACTGTTTCTCTTTCCACAGATGCTGCCAGACCTGCTGAGTTTCTTCACTTTTTGTGCTTGTTTCAGATTTCCGGCATCCGTAATATTTTCCTTCTATTTAAAGTGAGAGTGAATGCCCCGATGTTCAAGTCAGAACTTGACCAATTGTGAAAAGAACCTTAGCAAACTGGAAATGAAACAGACAGGTCTCAACTGGTTAGAGTCATAGCTAGCACAAAGGAAGATGATTGTGGTTGCTGAAGACCAATCATTTCAGTCCCAGGACATTGCTTCATCAGAATCGTGTCCTAGGCCCAACCATCTCCATTTACTTTGTGAAGGACCTTCCCTTCATCATAAGATGAAAGTAGGGATGTTCACACAGTGCATTTGCAATTATTCTTTACTGAAAGACTACGCTTCCAAATTTAACAAGACCTGATAAATTTCAGAGATAGTAGGAACTGCCGAATGCTGGAGAATCTGAGATAACAAGATGTAGAGCTGGAGGAACACAGCAGGCCAAGCAGCATCAGAGGAGCAGGAAAGCTGACATTTCGGGTCTGGACCCTTCTTTAGAAATGGGGGAGGGGAAGCGGATTCTGAAATAAATAGAGAGAGAGGGGGAGGTGGATGGAAGTTGGATAAAGGAGGAGATAGGTGGACAGGAGACAGGCAGGTCAAGGAGGCGGGGATGGAGCCAGTAAAGGTGACTGTAGGTGGGTAGTTAGAGTGCGAGTTGGTCAGTCAAGGGAAGACGGACAGGTCAAAGAGGCGGGAATGAGGCTGGTAGGTAGGAGGTGGGGGTGGGGGTTGAGGTGGCAGGAGTGGATAGGTGGGAGAAAGGACGGACAGGTTAGGGAGGCGGGGACGAGCTGGGCTGGTATTGGGATACGGTCTGGGGAAGGGAGATTTTGAAGCTTGTGAAGTCCACATTGATACTGTATCCGCTGTTCTCGATGTGGCCTCCTGTACATCGGAGAGACCAAGGGGAGGCTTGGAGACCACTTTGTGGAAGACCTACACTTGGTTCGTGACAAACGACTGCACCTCCCAGACGCGAACCACTTCAACTCCCCCTCCCACTCCTTGGACGATATGTCCATCCTGGGCCTCCTGCAGTGCCACAACAATGCCACCCAAAGGTTGCAGGAACAGCACCTCATATTTCGCTTGGGAACCCTGCAGCCCAATGGTGTCAATGTGGACTTCACAAGCTTCAAAATCTCCCCTTCCCTGACTGCATCCCAAAACCAGCCCAGCTCATCCCCATTTCCCTAACCTGTCCGTCCTTTCTTCCACCTATCCATTCCTCCCACCTCAACTCCCACCCCCACCTCCTACCTACCAGCCTCATCCCGCCTCCTTGACCTGTCTGTCTTCCCTGGACTGCCCAACCCCCACCCTAACTCCCCACCTACACTCACCTTTACTGGCTCCATCCCCGCCTCCTTGACCTGTCCGTCTCCTCTCCTCCTATCTGCTCCTTTATCCATCTTCCATCCACCTCCCCCTCTCTGTCTATTTATTTCAGAATCCCCTTCCCCTCTCCCATTTCTGAAGAAGGGTCCAGACCCGAAACATCAGCTTTCCTGCTCCTCTGATGCTGCTTGGCCTGCTGTGTTCATCCAGCTCTACACCTTGTTATCTCTGATAAATTTCAGGTTTGGACTTCTAGATGGCAAATAAAAGTAACATTGCTGTGCCAAATATATGCCAAGTAAGTGATGACCCATTGTCAACAAGAAAGAAAAGAACAATTCTCTTCTATTCATCAAAACCAAGAGACAGGAGGAGGCCATTCAGCCTGCTGAGCCTGCACTTTCAATTAGATCATGCCTGATCATCTATCTGAATGCCGTCATCTCGATATTTGTTAAAGTCAGTCGTCTCCAGAAATAAATCACCTTCTGTTTGAGTCTGTTCAATGATTGTGCTTTGAAGCCCTCTGGGGTTATGAATTCCAAAAATCGACCATCTCCCAATATCATCACCAACTCACCCGTCATCAAATGCCATCCTGGGTGCTTACAACTGAATTGAAACTTCAGTGGATCCACCAAATAACTATAAATAAATACTGTGGCAATGAAACGCAGGTCAGAGGCTGGGTGGCCTACAGTGAATAATACCCTACTGCTTTCCCAGAATCTTTTGACAATTTACAAGGAACAAGTTAGGAGTGTGATGGAATATGCTCCTTGAATGAGGCTCCAAAAACACTTAAGCTCTTCATCAACTAGGGCAATTGATATTGCATTTACCAACACCATAGAGCAGGAGCAGTGTGTACCATCCACAGAAATAGACTGCATTAATCTGCCTTTATTGTTTCCATAGCAGATTCCAAACCCATCACGTCCATCACCTTAATGGACACGGGAAACAGATGCATGAGAACACTTGTAAGTTCCCCTACAGATCACACACCATCCTGACTTAGAATTATATCACTATTCCTTGTGGAACAGCAAATTCTCTTTTTTACTGCTGGAAATAAATTTGAACGTGATTTATTTTTTAACAAATCCCAAAAATGTGAGAGAAAGCAATCACTGTAAATAATATTAGATGATTGCTAAAATAAAGAGTTTTTAAAAATTCTTCATGTCTGTTTTTGGAAGACCAACTCCCCGCCTTAAAAAAAATCAAATTCTACATGCTGGCATTAAATTATCTTCAAAATGCAGCGACATGTCTGAAAATATTATTGTTTGATGATACATCTTACAAAGCTGACTCCTACTACTCAGTAAAATAATAGATAGGCTTCCAATATATGTCCTATCTCATTAAGCTAATGAAATGTATGTCTTGAATGGGCATTACAAAATAAAGACCATTAACTTAGTCAAATGTATATTTTAATTTCAACACAACCGTGATTATTGTATGCCTATTTCTAGAAACGAGGACACAAGGACGACGTTTTATGTATAGCCCAATGTCCTCCCACTCTGCTTGCCACCTCCAGCTATGATGGGGAAATAATAGTGTGGAACATGATCTCAGGACATATCTATTGTCATCTACAGATTCCCCCAACAACAGCGTGCAGAGATGGAGAAGGTAAAATGTACAGGAAAGTGTATTTTAGTTGAGGTGATGCAATTAATGGCTTTATTTAGAATTCTTGGAAAAGTTGATTGGTGTTAATTTTTTTATATTACTGTTTTGATATTTTGCACATTTAAATGAAAATATTTAAGATGATTCCTCGTGTATATTTAGGGTTGAGGTAGATAGATTCTTGGTCAGTAGGGGAATCGAGGGTTAAATGCTGGAAAGTGGACGTGAGGAATTTCGGATCAGCCATGGTCCTATTTTATGGCAAAGTGGGCTTGAAGGGCCAAAAGGCTTACCCCTGTTCCAATTGCTTATGGTCTTATGATCATTTAAAGAAAGTTTATGTCTTGACTCCCACACTGTGAGTTAAGGCTGTTGGACCAGCCAACATGGGGTGTGTTTGAACTCCACACTGGGTTCATATGGCCCTGCTGAAATTGGGTTTGCAGCATGTCTGAGCGATGTCTCACTCCCCACCAGCAAAATTTGAAACCAGGTTACTCACTTCATTTTTAAAGGTTTACAGAGTCTTTGTGAAAATTCAGCCCTTGGATTCAGTGAATGTTTGGGAAAGAGGGCTACTTTGCATTTCTTAATATTGCCCTGAATTCTTAACAGTATTTAACCTTATACTCCTTATGTTCTGAACACCCCACCGGAGGAAATAGTTCTCTCTCTTTCCCTACTTATTCAACTTTATTGATCATCTTAAGTAGGGATGATGAGTTAGATCATGTGGGAGTCAGGTGAAGTCTCCTTCCCTGCCGAAATGTTCAACTGTGGGTTCGCTTGTTTTTGTGGGAAGGAAAGCTCAGTACATGTTGACTGATTATTTGTCATTTGATTATGAACTGAAATTGGGGATTATGCTTAGACGTGATCCACTTAATTCCAATTTGAAAAATCCATAGAATAAATATAACTTTAGAAAACTATTGCCTATGATGCTTATAGGTGTCATTAATATTTATTATTCACACAACAGCAGTAGATAAGAGTGTAAATAAAGTCATATTCTTGAAGACACGTGTACTGAAGGCTGAATTAGGAGCTTCGCTTGTTGCTACTGGATCCCAAGGTAAACAAGGAATTATAGCTTTTCGTATTGTAAAATTCTGAAAGAGTAACAGAAATTTCTAGAAACATGTATCAGATCTGGAAAGAGAAAGATTTAATCAAAATACTCAATTTTTATACTTATGACATGCAGACATTTTTTTAACTACCTGAAGTTGGAGGCCAGACAATTTGCAATAGGACCATTGAAATAGTCAAGTTGGTACAGTTTTGATGATGGCTTTAGCAGGTGATGGGCTGAGTCTGGGTTAGATGTGAGCAAATTAAGAGTGACTGGAAGGAGTTAGTCTGTTGATAGAATGTATGTGGCGTCAAAATTTTGTTTGGAGTCTAAGAGATCTCCTAAATGTCAAAATATCTTGCTTAGACAATGACTGGTGAGAATAATGAAATTGATAGTGAAGACCAAAATGATAATAAAAACCGAAAGAACTGCGGATGCTGTAAATCAGGAACAAAAACAGAAGTTTCTGGAAAAGCTCAGCAGGTGTGGTAGCCTTTTTCGTGAAGAAAAAATCAGAGTTAACATTTCAGGTCTGGTAACCCTTCAATGAATATTTCAGTCTTCCCAATGTTTAACTGGATGAAATAGGATCATCTAAGATAGGATATCAGGCAAATAGTCTGACAACATGTAGTTAGAGAATTAGCGGAGATATTCAGCTGAGTATTGTAATGTGTATGGAAACTATCTTTAGATGATATTTTCGATAGATAACATGTAAATGAGGAAGTGGAGGGATCAAAAGTAGGTTCTTGGGAAATGCTTGAGATAAAGGTGCAGAGGTAGGGAGACAAGCTATTCTGGAAATGCAGTAGCAATGATCACCTAAAAAGATGAAACAAAGCAAGAGAAATCTGAGGTGGACAATGGAAACAAAGTATGGGAGAAGGATGGAGTGACTAACACTTATCAAAGACCACAAAGTAATCAAGGAGGATTAGAAAGAAATAAGCAACTTGGCTGCAGTCAGAGAGGATGTTATTTGTAACTTTGATTAGGACTATTTCTGTGCTGTGGCATAAAGGTGATTGGAAAATGTCAAGCATAGAGTTATTGGAAAGGCGAATACTGATTGGGAGGTGAAAATATGTAGCACATTTCATATTCAGCCTGGAATTTCACTGAACCCATGTCAGAAAAAATAGCCAATGAGTTGATGGCGGCAGTGAAGTGAACTTCTGAAAGGCCCTGCTGAAATTGTAGAATGCTTGTCTCGGAAAATCAGCCCTTTTCAAATTCTCTGTTGGATATTCCTGATTATGGAATTCACTTTTTTCATAACGAAGCCAATAATAATGACTCTTCTGGGGCTTTTCTTTGACATTCAATGACATACTGTGATGTACATTGTATATAGAGCTAATATTGTGACCCTTTACTGTTGTATTTTTAAATTGTGTGCATTTTATGCTCCTGTAGGTTCACTTGCATTCTGGAATCTGTTTCATGGTGGACAACTGTTTAGTATTTTTACTGCAGTGAGTTACAACACACCGTTTCTGAATATTCAATCACTTAAGGATTACAAACAAATTGTTTATTCATCACTATAAAGTGTTTAAACATCTAATATTTGTTATGAAAATTCTCCCTCAAGGGCAATATCAATCTCAATGTAAAACCATGCATTGATAAAGTATTTATTTCCAATTTGTGAAAAAGCTACCACATGTATGTTGAAAATGTCTCATACAATTAATACTGTGATATAGGCAAAATGAACTTCCATAAATTTGCTAACTATTTTCACCTTGAAAGCAGCAATCACCATTTCTGAAATTGGTTAGAAATGGCGAATTTTCCTTTTTCATCATAAGATGTATTTTGTGACAGAAATGAAGTAATTTTCAAAGGATTTAACTTTATTCGTTTAATTCTGTCACAGTAATGATATGGTTGTAATCAGTTTTGGTCAAATAGATAATCTTCATGTTACCTTGCTGCAATGGTTTGGCAATTGATTGGTTCTCATTTGATAAAAGGCAATTCTGTAATTTGTGCAGATAAGTCTCTGCCTAGCAGCAATTTAAAGTATTTTAATTCCTGTTAGTTCTGCAAGGATTTATTAGACTATTTTAGCCAAATATTTTCTATTGAGGCTGCCTGTAACCCTCACAGTTAATCTGTTTGAGATCTCATATTTGGAAGAAATGTGGAAGGAAAATTAGCATAATATTTAACAAAATTAATATGGGATATGAGTGTTGCTGGCTAGGCCAGCATTTATTGCCCATCCCTCATTGTCCAGAGAGAAGTGAAGAGTGAACCGCATTGCGTGGTTCTGGAATCACATGTAGGCCAGATCAGGTAAGAATGGCAAATTTCCTTCTCTAACAGATATTAGTGAACCAAGTAGGCTTTTTAATGACAATCAACAGTGGTTACATTATTGCCATTCGGTGAGTTTTTTTTTAAATTCCGTATTTTACCTGAATTCAAATTTCACCATTTGAAATGATAGGATTTAAAGCCATGTTATGGGGTTCTGGATGACTAGCCCAGCGACATTACCATTAGCCACCACTTCCATCATCTGGCTTGACATAGTAGTAATAGTGATGATTTCTGATGTTCTTACAACTATTTGGTTATTCTATGATGTTTAATAATTTTGTTAGTTTAAATCTGAAAGGAGATTTTTTTCCATCCATTGGAAATGTTAGTAGTCAAGTAAAGGGGTTTATTGGTGAGTTACACTGCATTCCTGACTCATTTTGCATAAACCCCATCACATCCTTAACTGACATTAGATCAGGTATAGAAAAATCATTTGCCCAATCAATTGGAATGTATGCCACATGGGAAAATCACAGCTTCATATTGTTATCAAAGTTTTAACTCCAATTCACTGAGAAATTGTAGATACTGGCATACCTCAAACTCTCCGGTAAAACCAGGACAGAAGCAGCAGAATAACCACAAGAGACAGAAGTAAGTTTGATTTAGTCATTTGTAAGACTTGCTTATGGGCTAAGGGCAAGATAAGACCCTTACCCAGACCCAACCTTTCCCTACTCCTCTCTTGCACTACTAATAGCTCTTTTGAGACATGCTCACAGCACTTCTACAATGCTAGCCTTCCCGTAGCTCACAGTCCCTCTCCTGCCTGCTGTTCTTGTCTCTTTTTCACTGCCCTTGAGCTGCCGCACTGTTCAGGCAAAATTATGTAAGGTTCAGGGGTTAAAATTGGTTTTATGCCAAGGGAGAGACTCTGACTTCTCATGTACTTCACTTTCCTTATAAGTCGAAAGGCAACAGTAGATTCACATTGCAGTAAGTGATAGCACTGTACACTTTGTCATTTTGCAAAATGTCTGTGCACGTGGCACCACATGATTTTTTTTCATTTTTAGTTCTGAAATTGATCAAATACTTTCCTATCTCTCCAGTCCAAAGTGAAATCTCAGATAAGCAGCCTGGCTGTGTCGACTGATGACTCTTTGCTTTATGCAGCAGATTATGTTGGATATATTTATGTGTATGGTATGAAGGATTTTGCAGTTCATGGACCAGAAGTAGATCCACCGAAACGTAAGAAATAGAAACATATTTACTTTTGGAAATTTTCTAACAGTTGAATAATACCTATATTCATAGATATACTACATTATAAGTGACCTTACGAAATTATGTAAGAAAATAGTAATTCAGGTTATAGCTGTGTTGTGCAAGTGTACTTAAATATTGATATTGCTCAGAAATATAGTCAGATACATCCCAACTCAGGTTGTAACATTGTAATATTTATTCTGCCGGGAAACAGAACAGGACTATTTCAGAGATAGATGCAAGGGGAAAGTTGCTGATAGATGTAGCTGATAAGGGGCATGTGATCTCTGTTGCTGTTGCTGAGAGGTCAGACCAATAAAGGAAGGAGAATGGAAAGGTGTTTCAAGATGGAGATGCCCTTCAAAGTTGATGGTATTTTTTATGGCTACAACTCTTAAGCTAACATCCACAAGATGGCCTGTGCCACAGCTATGACACTGTAAGTGTGTGGGGATAAATAAAGGAGGCTCACTGAGGCCAGTTAGGCAAAGTGCAGGGCATGTTGCCACTGGTGAGATCTCACTGGCACAACCAATTTGGCCCCAAGTGGCCTGTTAATAGCTATTAATTGGCTGACTACTACTGCCCAGTGGATATCTGCTCCCCTTGCTCACTCACCTCTGACAAGATCAGCAAAAGTAGAAATGTATTGGGCAGGTGATTTTCCTTCAGCCTGCCTTATGGGACTCATAAGATCACAGCCAATGTTTACATGGCAGACTGATAAAGAACAAAGCAGCTTTTGAATCACAATTTTTTTGTTGTGTGGATTATTACTAAACTTTGTGATACTGTTTTTAATAATCATACCTTCTTAACTCAGGATTTATTCTGTACTCTACCTGCATGTGGTGCACTCATTACAATTGTAGCATTAATGTGGAGTAACTTGGTTTTGTATGAAACTGCAGTATGAAGAATTTGCATTTCATAAGATCCTAGAAATAGGAGCAGGAGTAGGCTATTCAGCCAAAGGAGTAGGCTACTCAGCCCAATGAACTGCTGGCCATTTAATAAGATCATGGCTGATCTGATTAGGCCTTAACGCCACACTCCTGTCTGACCCCACAGTCCTTAACTCCCTCATCAATCAAAAGTCTGTCTAATACAGTCTTGAATAAATTCCAGCCTCCACTGGTTTCTCTGGAAGAGAAATCAAAGACTAACAACCCTAAGAGAAGAAATTCCTCCTCGGTTTCACCTGAAAAAGTCATTGCTTTTTTTTAAGCTGTGTACCCTGGTTGCATTCCTCCATGAAAGTAAACATCCTCACTACAATTACTCTGTCAGGGTCCTCAGAATCTCAGAATTCCTCTGAATTTTCTAAACTGTGCAGTGTATATGCCCACTCTACTGGACTTACCCTTGTAATGCAACATATTCAAGAATTTGACCCATTCATGAGTCTATATTGATTCTGCCTGATTGCATTATGAGTTTTTTTAGTGTCCTTCTATCTATTTAATGATGGATTCTAGTATGTTCTCAATCATGGATGTTGGAATATTACAACCACTATAGTGCATCCAGTATGCACGCAGCATTCATAACAAAATGGATAGCAAAGTAGAAATTAATTTTCAGGATCTACTCCCATTTCCTCTCCCCATGCCCCAAAAGATGTAGGAAGGCTGATTATGTTGTGGGTTCGATGATGTAAAGAAATTGCCTACTCATTAACAGCTTAGAATAATACCAATTTAATTGCATTGTATTTCATTTCATCTTAATTATAGTTATTAACTACTGGAGGGCTCATATCAGTGCTGTTACTTGGTACGTATATGCTCTGGACATTGCATTAAGTTCTAAAAGCTTCCATTTCACTCTTTTGTTTCATGATAAATAACTTTCATTTTCATTCCAGCATGGAGCTAATAGAAGAACAGAAGGTGATGGTGACCTCCTCTGTTGAGGGTACTGTCCGACTGTGGAGCATGGATGGGGAATTTATTGGTAAATTATGAAGCAATAATAATGAATAGTGATGCTATTCAAGTGGGTCCCATGAACAAGAGTAACTCTTAGTTAAATATTCATGAATTAGTCAGCATTGCAAATGTAATATTTGGAAAAAGCAACAACTTTTGATAGCATCGTTACAGGTTAGAAGGGAATGACTTGCATTTATATTATAATTTTCATACCCTCAGGACATGTCAAATCACACCATCATCAATGAAGTTCTTTTATGAAGTGCTGTCACTTTTATGTCACAGCAAAGTCCCATTATGACATGATTCATTTTGTAATAGACTTGCCTCCTGGAGACCATTGTCAGCAATTCCAACAAAAAGAAGATGACATTAATTGGGTAAATGTACACCCTCACTGGTCAGCTCCCCTCCACTCCTGTACCTGGCCCACACCTATTATAACCATCAATTATCAATAATGCTTACCATTGACTTCCTTCATGACATTTTCTGTTGGCAAATAAAGAACAAAATACTATAAAGATGTTCAAAATTATGAGCAGTCTCTTTTATTTATTGTTTGAATAACAAAATATATTGTGATTATATGGAAATAATCCTCTGATTTCTGGAATAAATAAAATTGGTTTTAAGCACACAAGCTTCATTCACCTAGTTCTTTGAAAACATAATGACCTTGTAATTACTTGTATACTTGACTCTTGTAAGGTACATTTGGGCAGCCAGAGCCCTGGGAAATCCGTGCACCAGCATCATGGAAGCACCCAATGGTTCCCTATGAAATTCTGATTGACCCACTCAGCATGCCCATTCACCCAGTGCTGGAGGAAGAAATGTCTTTCGTACAGCTCAGCAACTTTGAAAACAATGAAGAAACCATAGACAATACAGAATCAAAGGTTTGTAGGTAATTTGAAAGATTACTTGTTTTAAAAAAGGATGTTGTGATCAGAAGATGTCTACATCATTTATTGCAAAGATTGGCATTATTGCTGTCATTTTGTCTCTTCTCCTATGCAATGCTCACCAGCCTTTATGATTTACAAAGACTCCATTTTACTTCAGAAAAGGATTGTTATCCTGTGGGGAGAGACTGCCTGGAAAGAGTCACTCATGCCATGTTTACCATTGATAGAAGTAATATCATGTGGCATGAATAGATCATAAGATGTAGTCAGAAGTCACACAATACCAGGATATAGTCCAACAAGTTTATTTGAAATCATAAGCTTTCAGAGCATAGCCCCTTTGTTAGGTGAAGTAAGAGAAAAGCACACAGAACACAGAATTTATGGGCAGAGAGATCAAAAGATCATATAAATGGTGTGAGTGGAGTGTTGAATAATAAATCCCTGTGGTAATCAGAAGTGTCAGATCGTTTGGGTAAAGTGTCAACAGCTGAAGAACAAGGCAGGGGATGACCTATAATCTGATTAAATGAGGCAGACAGATAACTACAAAAAATTAAAAGTAACATGGTGCTGGAGACAAACCAAATGACTGAGTAATGTGATAGTTATAAGAGTCACATGCCGAGGGTCTATTCAAAGTAATAAGTAATCTAAACTGTACAAACTAATTAGGGTAGAGAGATCATAACAAGGTGATGGTGTCAAAACAGGTGCAGAACTCCTGGTGGAGTCACATGTAGCGCAACATAAACCCAAGATCACAATTGAGGCTGGCTTTATGGGTACAGACTTGGCAATCAGTTTCTGCTTGGCGATTCTGCGTTGTTGTGTCTCTTGCAGGTGGCCTGTATCTGCAAAATCTTCCTTACTGTTCTGTTTTGACACTATCACTAGGATAAATTGTTATGATCTCAATACCTTAATTAGTTTGGACAGTTTTGGATTACTTATTACTTTGGTTAGACCCTCGGCGTGTGACTCTTATACCTATCATGTTATTCCAGTCATTGGGTTTGTCTCCAGCACCACCTTATTCTTACTTTTTTGTAATTATTTCTCTGCCTGGTTTAATCAGATTATAGGTCATCCTTTCGCTTGTTATTAAGCTGTTGACACTTTACTCACACCGTCTAACACTTCTGATCACCTACAGGAACTTATTATTCAACACTCCACTCATACCGTTGGTATGGTCTTTTGATCTCTCTGCCCATAAATTCTGTATCTACGTGCTTTTCTCTTACTTCACCTGACGAAGGGGCTTTGCTCTGAAAGTTTGAGACTTCAAATAAACCTGTTGGACTGTAACCTGGTGTTGTGTGACTTCTGATTTTGTCCACCCTAGTGCAACACCAGCACCTCCACATCATATTATAAGATGAACATCATTAAGAACAGGCTTCCCTAATAAATTTACACTTTCAATGAAAGACTTCCCCTCAGCCTTTTGGCAGGAAGCTGACACAACCTCACCCACTTCCTGTTCCTCAAATTCTGTGAATCATCTGCTCACAGCAATTTAAGAACATAAGCAACAGGAGCAGGAGGAGGCCATCTGACACATCAAGGCTGCTCCACCATTCAATAAGATCATGGCTGATCTTTTCATGAACTTAGCTCCACTTACCCACCTGCTCACCTTAATCATAAATTCATTTACTGTTCAAAATGAGGTAGCCTCAGCTGCTTCACTAGATAGGGAATTCCACAGATTCACCTTTGGGTGAAGAAGTTCCTCCTCAACTCAGTCATAAATCTGCTCCCCCTTGTTTTGAGGCTATGTCCCCTAGTTCTTGTTTCACCCCCAGTGGAAACAATCTCCCTGCTTCTATCTTATCTATTTACTTCATTTTTTATATGTTTCTATAAGATCACCCTCAATATCTCCTCATCAGCCTCATTTGTATTTGTATAACATCTTTAACCTAAGAAATATCATTCTATGGCACTTCTCACCAATACCATAAAACAAAATGTAGCATTGAACGAAATAGAGACTGTAGGTGGGAAAACCAGAAGTCTGGACAAATTAGTATGATGAGTGACTTCAAGGAGAAAAGTGAAAGACAGGGATGGAGAAGCTTGGGAAGAATACTCCTGAGCTTAGCATGAAAGTAACTGAAAGCACAACCACCAACAGTGGAGTGATTCAAACCAGTGTTACTTAAGAGGTAGAATTAAATGAGTGTAGATAGCTCAGAGGCTTATATGACAGGAAAAAAACAGAGATAGTGAGAGTCCAGGCCAAGGAGGGATTTGAAAACAATCATGAGAATTTAAAATCAAGATATTGCTTGCCTATATGATAGGGGAATAGGACTTGACACAAGCAACAGAATTTTTGGTGTTGTCAGATTTGCAGAGGTTGGAATGTGAAACTAACCAGGAATATATTATGTGACACAGGGTGTGTGATTTATATATATTTTATTAAAATTTAATTTTTGAATTTTGAACTAGTGGTATATGGGGTTTTCTGTGTGTCTGAAAGGGTTTAATGATTAACCTGCAAGTATTTCTATAGCCATGATTTTTAAAAATAACAGTTTGAGAGTCACAGCCTCGAAGAACTAATGTGTTTTTGTTTATATTGGGGGAGTTTACAAACAAACAAATTACAGAGTGCAGTACATTAGGATTTCTGATAGAGGATTGTGGACTTGTGTTTTTTTTTTAAGTTTTACAGGGAACATCCATAACTTGGATAGAAACATTTCAGCTCTGGATTTGGTTTTATAGAGTTCTATTGTGTTCATAGCTAAAGGATAATGTATATAATAGTCACTCCTGAGAAAAGTGAAGTTAGTTTGGATTTGTTTAAAACAAATTACCACTACAGAATGAGCTTAGTAATACTTTCAGACCAGAAGTGTTTCAGTAAAAACCTGAAGGGATTATTTGAAGCTGAGAAAGTTTAAGCCCAGAGATAGCAGGAACTGCAGATGCTGGAGAATCTGAGATAACAAGGTGCAGAGCTGGATGAACACAGCAGGCCAAGCAGCATCAGAGGAGCAGGAAGGCTGATGTTTC